TGTCCCCCCCCCCCCCGCCCATCCCGGCTCCCCACGCGACGTCCGCTGGCCTTTCCCATCTCGATTGAGAGGGTCTGGCCAGCTCCGGAGCCCTCCGGCCGCAGTCTCCGCTGACCGCCACCAGTACATGATTCGGACATCGGACTCATTCGAGGTCAAGTCGACCGATCGCGAACAGTCCGCGACATTGTATGACATTGTATGTGTGGGCATTACAGGGGATCGAAGTCGCCTGCGGCCCATTCGCGCCTTGGGGAGCGGCATCAAGCCTCCTGCAGCTCACACGTAGATGAACCTTCAGGTGCATCACTAGACCAGAGCATCCACCAACGTGTATTGCATGACACGTGTCTCTGTCGGTGGAATTTGGCAGCGGCGGGCAAGTCAATAGCACATCCATTCATCCACTCCACGCCGTGAGGTCGAATCGATGCATCCACGGCGTCTCTCGCCTGCTCGATACATCCTGCGATTGCTCCGCTTGGTTGGTCAATTAGGTGGAGACACAGGGAATGGCCACGACAGGGACACCAACTCGATGCCACACCACAAGAGACACATGCAGGTGGGCCCAGCTAGGTGCTCTCAGCGTGCATCTTGACGAGAACTTTTATGTATACACAGTTGGTCGAGGTCACGGACGGGATGACGAGTGCGGAGGAGAAAATGGAGGAGACTTACATGTGAGAGAAAACACCGAGGTGAAATCATCAGGAAGAGAACTCCAGACAACGTACCGCTTGATGCAGCTTGCAATGAGCCTCATTCATCCAGGCCTCTTTCCTAGGGTGGACGGCAACTCTACGGCCGGCTAGTGGTCATCGAACTGATCAGAGGAGAGGTAAATCCGGCAGAAAGGCAGACGTATCGTGTGTCCACTTATGGCGTTGACTTCGTTGCGTCCCAGCCGTCGAGAGGAGACAAAGGAGACACAGCTCTATGCGGCCATAGTTGTTTGCCCAGCTGTTGGAACAGTAGTGTGCGTGTCTTGTGAGTGTGTGTGTATTTGCAACCCCACGGTGGCCCCTTCTACGTGTCATTCATCTGAATCAATCTCTTGTCCGTGCAGCAGCATTGCATTCATTCCTTTTAACATTGTCCCCTCCCACATCAAAGGAAAGAAAACGCGGTGTTTCTCTCTCGTATCCCTCTCTCACTCTTGCCGGTAAGGTGCAGTCCGTGTCTTGTGTTGTGTCTTGTCTATGGTTTAGGCCGACAGCAGGGGTGTCTGGTCACTTCTCATGTCGCCCCCCTCCACCAAAGGGTACTGAGTGCGCTGCTCGGAGCGGCCCAGACCGCCACGGCTCACCTTGACGTCGTGGCACGTGACGCTCCCCCAACAGCCCACCATCTGCATGACAAGTGGACAACAATGAAACCGACACAGAACGGTGATGTCTCCTCTGTGTGCGTGACATTGGAAATGGCGATGGCCTTGGTGAGGAGGTCCTTGGGGATCTGCATGTGCTTCCCGCTGCCGTCGTCCCACACCCGGACGTGGAAGAATTGTTTGGGCGTCAAGATGGTATTTCCGCCTCCCTCGCCGTCGATGTGAAGTCCGATGTCGTAGAGCACCTGCCGCTCGCTCTTGAGTGTCCGCTGGATGAACACTTCTTTGATGTCGTCGAACTCGGTCTCTTCACACTTCCGGGGATAGCACCCGCACAGCCACTCCTGCACACAAAAGGAGACTCAGCTCGACTAGTAATAGAGAAGGGCACGGCACCTCAATCGCTGTGTCTCACCCTCTGTCTCATTTGGCCTTCCCTCGGGTCGAACTCGAGCCTCTTGGAAGTGACCATGGACCTGAGTAGGCTGACAAGCACCCCGACGGACAGCAAGGCCAGGGCTTTGTCCACGGCTTGGGCGAAACCGTCCAGTATCTCCTCAAGGGCATCTTGCACCTGCATGCGACACAATGGTTTGCAATGCCGCCATGGCAGGACAGCATCCGTGTGCTGCCTTTGAAGTGCTCACAGTGCTCAGTTTGGCAGCCCACATAGCGGCTCCGAGGGCAATGAGGAGAAGGCATGAGAGGGCCTTTTGGAAGGTGAAGACGTTGTCGGAGTATATGAGCGGGTCCCCCATGGCAGGAGCTGACTCAGACAGATGTATCAAAGGGCCCCCGGACGGGAAGAAACCGGGCTTTCGATGGCAAAGCTCCACAGGTTGCTTTTGAGCTCGCAGATTCCTTTCAGCTCGCAAGATTTCGAAGTTCGATTTCGCGAGGATGCAGCACATCTTCGCGGCCGGGTCAGCGGCTGCCCACTGCCGCCTCATCAGCGTCAGTAACCACCG